CACGGTAGATAATTCCGTGTTATATGAATTCCATGTTGTACGAGTCACTTAGATTTTACAAATACGTGTGCAGGACAGTGAACGGCTCACGTATTTGTAAAATCTAAGTGACTCGTACAACATGGAATTCATATAACATGGAATTATCTACCATGTTATAGAGGGGGGTCTACTGTATTAATGCTAATAAGACAAATAAAATATGGACATTTGTCGACAAACAAATGCCTGGAGAACTGCTTTAAGTCGACATATCTATTTTCAGAAATGGATACATGTAAAGGCTTTCTTTAATACCCGAACATCAGAAAGAGTTATAAAAATGTTAAATTATAACATACGAAATGTTTGTGTAAGCTTACCCTTAAAGGATTATCAAACTGCAAATTTTAAAATATTCAATGTTATAATAAAATATTCGTAATTTCCATTAAGCATTTAAAATACGGGAATAAAAATTGATAACATCTGACAACCTCTTATACACGCGTAACATAAACTTACGAATACCAATGCATTCCTTTAGTGTAATTCCCTTTCCACTTCAAGATTGAATAAAGTGGTTTATTAATGAATGAAGTGCATCATACTTTTAATGTATTATATTTTAATAAAGTCTATTTTTTACTATTCCTGTGTGATAAGTCCGTTATAAAAGAAAAATTATGCTAATTGAAATGACGAATATAACAGAACAAGAAACTATATGAAAGTATGTTTAATTAATATGAACTTTAGTTATTAAAAAATATCTTATATTTGTATATTGGGTAGCTGATACCGTATATTTTATGCATCTATAAATAACCATAATGTAAAAATATTAAGAAGCATCTAGGTCTAGAGAAAAAAGGGGAATTCACGAAATGCAAATTATATTGGGTCAGCGATTCATAAAGACTAGTGTTACCGTATCATATACCACGTATTATAATTTTATGAATTATTTATTTATAATAACAAGGATGTTTTATATTTTGTGCAATGTTTCCTTTTGGCAACAGATGGAATTTTAATCAGATTTATTATCAATTTGAAATATTCATAGACAATTAACTAAACGCGTTATCTGTATCTGTCAACGACACTAATCCGCCGTCCAACCCCGTGTCCACCTCCTCTTCCATCATCATTGTCATCATGTATTATGATATTAATTTTAGAATACGTCGTGGAAAGTATGCAATTCATAAAAATATAGCTGAAGGTAAATGTTCTGTGTATACAGTAATTATTTCTAAACAGTTTTTCGCTTTAAAATATTTTATAATACTGAATGAAATGCCATTACAATTTACCATTCGGTCTAATTCCTATAAGTTAAAATAGAGATAATGAATTATTAAGAAAATGTATAAATTAAAATAATTTAAACATTATAAAATATCAAATTTATTAAGTATTTTACAGTACTGTTCAGTATTGATTAATTTTCAATATAAAAATACAATTATGTGATAAAAGTACATTATACTAGGAACATTCAAAAATAATTTTTGCATAAGTTTTAGCAAAAAGTTCAGTTTATTTTTGATTCTATCTCATAAAATATAACCCTATCCAACATTTTATTTCTAATAAATACCTAAAGTCAAATTATATTAAGTATGATTATTATATAAACTTACCAAATCTAGATTATCAAGCTTCAAATCTAGATCTTCAAGCTTCAAACATGTAAATATTTTATTATTATGTAATAAAATATATGAAAATATGTTTAATAAATAGACTTTAATTGTTTATTGGAAAAGTATTTCATTTTAAAATCAGATAGATAATGTGACTTATGTGTCAATAAATGACCATAGTGTTATTGTATGTAAACACTAGAAAGTTCAATATATAGTCCTACTGTTAAAATCTCATAAAGTACTTTCAAGTGCTTGTTAAGGTCTTAAAAAGAAGATGAAGGGAGGGTGGACAGGTACTGTACAGTACAGTAGCTGATAATGAAAGTATTTGTTTATTTCTCAGCAGTTTGTTAATAAGTAAAATTGTAAAAATTTACTTTTATAAGATTAAATAAATAATATTGAAATTACCGTTCTTTCAAAATCCTGTAAATTAAAGTAGAAAGGACTAATTATTAAGAAAACAAATCATTAAAATTAAGATATTATATATTTATACTGTACTGTATTATTAATCTGTTTATTATTGATAAATTTTCAACATAAAAATACTTCAATTAAACGATATATTCCCATATGGTTTGATATTTTTTATTTTAATAACGTTTATAATTAACTTATATGAAATGTTTATGTGAACTTACTCTCCACGAAGGATTATATCCCTGAAAATTTTAATATACACAATAAATAATTAATTATACGAAAATATACTTAAAAGATAATGGGCAAATAATGTTTCACTATATTATTTTTTAAGATTTATATTATTATAGGTAGGCGATAAGAGACGTGCCAACGAACATACTTAATAACACTGAAAATAGCATAACATTTACTCAATACCCAGTGGCTCATTACCCAGTGGAAAAAAGGGGCAATTGCCTGGGGATCGCACCAACAGGGGCCCCAAATAAATCTTTTATAGGAAAATATTTCCTTAAAAAAATTTCCTCGAAGAAAAATGCCTGAAATCAACACTGTACATGGGCCCCCTAATTCAAATTTGTCTGGGCATCATGAAGCTATAACCTGCCAATGTCAATACCAGCTTAAATTATCATGGTCAGTACTACAAATGGTGCATTGTTAAACAATAACACATGAGGGATCATGTGTCAATGTTCCATCTCTCACCTATGCTGATAAATCCTATTGAGAGTCAAGCCTGTCCATAAATTGTAGCTAGCCAAATGGTCTTAATGTGCTGGTGTCTCATGTTGACGAATAAAAATTAAAGCATTAGTAACTTAATAATAAACATTAGTTTTACAATATTTACAATAACATGATACTTTCTTTTCATTCAAACATTTTACAAGAAACTCGAAGCCCTTAAATCATGTTCTTTCTATAGAACATTCTTAAACTTCTGATACTGTACATCTGATGAAAGGTATATCTGGATGACCCAAAACTGCAACTTCTGCATGCATGATTCATACAGAAGCATGTATCTTCTGCTGCATCTTCAGACTGCATGCAATACTTTAGACTTTCTTTTAAATTTAAACGTTTTTTAAACTTTATTTTATATATTAGACTTTTTTATTCGAATTTTTGTACATTAACCTCCATTTTTAATCTGAGAATATTGATTTATTAAATAATAACAGTTTATAAAAAAATATTATTATATGATAAAATATAATAAATGTTTTACTAATTTTTAAACTTAGCAAATATTGGGAAATATTAATGAATTTAAATTATTTTTCATATAAAATTAGATGTTTTCTTTAAACACTTACCAAGTTTGAATACTGTAATTAAAAAGTGTTAATTATATAAAACAGCATTGAATATACGTTATTATTTATTTTATTTATTAAATTTATAGGAAATAATAAATAAATTACTTATAAATTTTGTTGGGCGTGTATAATTAAACATACAGTATTTATTGTTTCTAATATCTAAGTTTATTTTATGGAGACAATTCAAAGAAATACATTCAAATTTCTTAATAATAACATATATAAACTTACCACATTAGAATATGTAGACATACTTCCAACGTTACTCTAAATATACATTATTTTAATTGATAATAACAAGGCATCAACAATCTTAAATTGATTTAAACAACAATACTAAATTTATAACCTTACCATAACTATTCCAGAATGTTGTACGAATCCACCCTAAATATATACATATATAATGTTAATTACAATTAAGAATTTTTAGACTTTTATTTAAATGTAAATAAATTTTTATTTACATATTGTATGTCTTCTTCATAAACATTTATTTTATAATAATCTTCTACGAGGTCTTTTAGAAGCTTTCCTGGCTCCATGATAGTCTGAAATAAAATATTCAATTTATTTATATTTTAATTATCTTTTAAAATTATTATACTTTATAATTTATGTTGTTAAGCTTCTACATCAATCGAACATTGTAAATTTTAATCATTAATATTCTAGTAATGATCATTCATTTAATTATAACTAGCCAAATTTTGTATGAATGCCAGTGTCAGATCATTTTCTATGCTTTCCAATTGAAATCATTATAACAGGTGATTCACTCTTCCATACCTCTATATAACGATACCCCTGACTGTCATACATCGTATTTAGAAATTAAGTAAGATTTTTTAAAATATTACCTCATCTCTTTTTTTTCTGAGACACGATATCATCTCCTGAAATACAAAATTTAATTTTATTAATATTACATTTAGTACTTACTAAAATTCTTTTGACATAGAAAATCTAATAATTATTGCACAGCAAGATATTTTCTCATATTATACTGTACATAGAAATAAATCGCCCACGTTTATTAAGTGTACAAAAACAATACAGGCCTTACATGCAGCGATAAATATTATTGTATCTATAAGCTTATACGTGTACTTGCAAATTAGTCATTGATAGTTGAAGTAATGGTTAGATATACGAATTTAAATATATATATATATATATATATATATAACCTATATTAATCTTACCTGAGAAGAAGTGTTATTTTTTCTTTCTCTGAAAATATTCACGCAACATTCATTTAACCATTCGCAGACGTTCAAGTTTTCCTTTAAAATTCAAATTAAATATGTAAGAAATAAAAAAAATCTTATACGATAAATAAAATTTAATTTAATTAATTTTCTAAGCAACTAGCATTTATGCTAAGACGAGAAGATTAGCGCGTGTATTAACTTCAGTTAATAAAAATGTCTAATATCTAACGTATAAGTTTGTATATATAAATCGTGCCATAAACTAATTAGCAGAAATTTGAAAGAATATTCTTAGTTTGAACTTACATATCCTCTGATAATTGTCTAATATATCAGCTTTTAATTACAGAATTATTAAATTGACAGGGGAAACAAAGTTCATTCCTTTTTCTAGCACGATATTGTAATTTGTGTTTATGCCTACCAATTCTTATGCTCACAATAAGTCAAAGAAGTTAATGTTGAATGTTATACGCACTGCTATTTCTTTAATATTGCACATTGAACTGTAGATTTATATAGCCTATTTACTGTATATTATAATTCTTTAGTTCTATAACAATAAAATTTAAACATAACCTCTGCATCCAGACAGAACGAACCGAACACAGATGAAATCGGGTTCTGTTTGTTCGGGTTACTTTTGATATAAAATAAGGGCATATTTTTAAAACCATAAGTAGGCTACCAATTGATACGTTTAATTTTTGGTAGTTTTGAAAGAAACGCTATTTTGTCAAGTAGTTAAAGAATAAACTTGTTCATTTTCAAACTTCTACGTGTTTCCTTTGCTGTTTTAAAATACTTAATACTTTAAGTATTCTTTTCGCTTCCGGTTCCCGTATAATAAAGTACATTCCAGGCAGAAATTTTCCATTATATCTTAAAAACAACGAAAATTTTTCATTGACATCTATGCTATACAAAATCTTTTCCCAGATGATTTTACGAGTAGTGAAACTATTATGCTAATGCATAAGAAACCAGAATACTAAAACTATCTGCCTATTTCTCCCATAACAAAGGGAGTGAAGCCACTTTAGCATCAATAAAAAAAAAGTTGGTAACAACTAGGATTTCTCATTACTCCAATTTGCACAACCTGGCGTTACGCAGTTATCGAAGCTACTGGGCATGGTTAAAAATTAAGACAGTATAAGCACAATTATTCCAGATATTACAGGTTTTGACAAGTAAAGAATTATCAGAGTCCTGCCACAAATAAGCTACATATTGATTATTGACCATTTGTGGTATGCCATAACGAGCAAAGATCTAAAAAACTAATAAGTAGGTTTAAAATTAATAAATATAAACATATTCTGACAGTTTATGAGTTAATTATACTTTCTATTTGCAAAATTTCCTCAACCTTAACACAAAATAAGAATGGTCTTACCGCGTATGAGAAGATTTTGATTACCGTGTAGATGTGTGTCGTGTGACCATGGGTGCACATATTGAAGGATTGTGACTAATGCATAAAAAATTTGGACAGTTGCCACTGTTTATGCTGTAAGGTTTGCCCATATAAGGTAATAAATAGATTTATTATTAATTTTTAAAACCTCACCTTTCATTTATAAACACCCTGGATATCTTATTTGTACAGTAGTTCAAAATATAATAATATATACTATATTTTGAGTGGACAGACCACTTACGTAAATTAAAGTGTGAGAATACAGGCGAGGGAACAGAGCCCTCTAAGGTTGGTAAAACTCGGCCACTTTGTCTTTGGAATGGCTTTTTTTCGAGTGGCGAGGGAGTTAAGAAAGTCGACAAGTGTCCGTGTTTTGGAGTGACAAGAGACAGGTTTTAAACAGACAACAACGATAATTTATTATATAACTAAACCTATGATACATATAACTAAGCCTACGATTAGATGCGGTTAAATGAGGTTACATATACACTCCTATGGCTATTGACAAAAGTTTCTACTCAGCTGGTATGCTGATCTAATGACCTAGCTCTGTCGCTACTTCCGCTGAGAGAGAGTTTACAATAAACTATCAAGAAAATTTAGCGTGACAAAAGGCGCGAAATTCAACTGCCATCTTGGTATCCTCAATTCATTCCTCGATTTCAGTGATTTTAAATAACTGTTTCTTGCGACTTTCGTCGACCTTACTGCAGTTCCTTACTCTTTAGTTTCTGGCCTTCGTCTTTGGTCTTTTCTCTGCCCAGGTAGGAGTTTCCCTTTCTTTCATCCGGAGTGGCTTATGGCGGGTCTTCTTATCGTTGACTTGCATGGGCCGGGACAGTCCGTTCGTGGAGGTTCGCTGAACTTGGCACCTAGTCGTCGATTACTCGGGGCACTAATTAATCTATTCACCTTTCTTTGGACTTCATATGGGACGACCGCCCGGAACTTCGGTGTTTCCACCTTTTATGCTTGATGCGTAGGAAAATGATCATGTGATCGACTATTGACATGTCGAAAGTTCATTCCCAGGTGCGTGCATAGGTTTCTTCCGATAACGTGTAATAGCAACTGTTTCTCTTTCACAATCGAATGTTTCCTTTTGCCATCTTGTTGTCAAAATTCCTCTCCGGTTGTTTAGAGAGAACGTCATCCGATCTCTTCTAGAGCGATGTTTTTTTATAACAATAGCGTTAAGAAATTAAATTACAAAATCGTAATTTTGCGCGAAATTCTCTCATTCCTCCGCTCAGGCCCGTAGATAGGCCCGCGGGCTCACAAAAGGTTTACTGGACTAGAAGGGCAAAATTTATAAAAAGGATTAAGTGCTAAATTATTATATCGACGATTAGGAATGAAAAACATAAATCCATCGATCCTAATTTTTTAAAAAGGAAAAAAATTGTACAATTGCAACCACAGATGTCTACAAAGGGGAGCAAGGCACTTGCCCCTGGAATCCGGTAAAAATTCCACAAATTACAATGGTAAAAGTGATTGAGATATATAACCTTACACTCTCAATCATGAGACGCTTTGATGCCCAATTGTTTAGGTTTGCCCATATAAGGTAATAAATAGATTTATTATTAATTTTTAAAACCTCACCTTTCATTTATAAACACCCTGGATATCTTATTTGTACAGTAGTTCAAAATATAATAATATATACTATATTTTGAGTGGACAGACCACTTACGTAAATTAAAGTGTGAGAATACAGGCGAGGGAACAGAGCCCTCTAAGGTTGGTAAAACTCGGCCACTTTGTCTTTGGAATGGCTTTTTTTCGAGTGGCGAGGGAGTTAAGAAAGTCGACAAGTGTCCGTGTTTTGGAGTGACAAGAGACAGGTTTTAAACAGACAACAACGATAATTTATTATATAACTAAACCTATGATACATATAACTAAGCCTACGATTAGATGCGGTTAAATGAGGTTACATATACACTCCTATGGCTATTGACAAAAGTTTCTACTCAGCTGGTATGCTGATCTAATGACCTAGCTCTGTCGCTACTTCCGCTGAGAGAGAGTTTACAATAAACTATCAAGAAAATTTAGCGTGACAAAAGGCGCGAAATTCAACTGCCATCTTGGTATCCTCAATTCATTCCTCGATTTCAGTGATTTTAAATAACTCTTTCTTGCGACTTTCGTCGACCTTACTGCAGTTCCTTACTCTTTAGTTTCTGGCCTTCGTCTTTGGTCTTTTCTCTGCCCAGGTAGGAGTTTCCCTTTCTTTCATCCGGAGTGGCTTATGGCGGGTCTTCTTATTGTTGACTTGCATGGGCCGGGACAGTCCGTTCGTGGAGGTTCGCTGAACTTGGCACCTAGTCGTCGATTACTCGGGGCACTAATTAATCTATTCACCTTTCTTTGGACTTCATATGGGACGACCGCCCGGAACTTCGGTGTTTCCACCTTTTATGCTTGATGCGTAGGAAAATGATCATGTGATCGACTATTGACATGTCGAAAGTTCATTCCCAGGTGCGTGCATAGGTTTCTTCCGATAACGTGTAATAGCAACTGTTTCTCTTTCACAATCGAATGTTTCCTTTTGCCATCTTGTTGTCAAAATTCCTCTCCGGTTGTTTAGAGAGAACGTCATCCGATCTCTTCTAGAGCGATGTTTTTTTATAACAATAGCGTTAAGAAATTAAATTACAAAATCGTAATTTTGCGCGAAATTCTCTCATTCCTCCGCTCAGGCCCGTAGATAGGCCCGCGGGCTCACAAAAGGTTTACTGGACTAGAAGGGCAAAATTTATAAAAAGGATTAAGTGCTAAATTATTATATCGACGATTAGGAATGAAAAACATAAATCCATCGATCCTAATTTTTTAAAAAGGAAAAAAATTGTACAATTGCAACCACAGATGTCTACAAAGGGGAGCAAGGCACTTGCCCCTGGAATCCGGTAAAAATTCCACAAATTACAATGGTAAAAGTGATTGAGATATATAACCTTACACTCTCAATCATGAGACGCTTTGATGCCCAATTGTATTCTGTAATCTACTTGTAGAAAGAAACACCTCTAAAATTTTATAATTATAATAAATAAAAAAAATTATTTGTCTCCACGCTTTGCCCCAAGGAAAATTTTCTGCGGTCGTCCATAGTTGCAGCTTTCGTTATGTTAACCTCATTTCGATTAATACAGAATTAAACAGATTCATGAAATGTGTCATTCACGTTTGCAGTATTTAACTGTTTTATATGCCATTTTGGTATTGAATCCAGTAAGTTTATACTTAATTAAAAAGTAAAAAAATGCTGCTAAGAATATAGGATTTAATTTTGAAGTCATTTATAATGTCGTTATATTTTTATTATTTTATAAAAATTTAAACATTTAACGTTATGATTATGTCTATAAAATTTAAACATATGTCGGGTCCCGTCCTTCCTCACCCGGCCGCCCATTATGAGTCTGACAGTTATGAGTTAATTATACTTTCTACTTGCAAAACTTCCTCAACCTTAACACAAAATAAGAATGGTCTTACCGCGTATGAGAAGAATTTGATTACCGTGTTGAAACCCATAATGGACTTGCCAAAAAAAGCCCCTCTTAATCCCCACAAGACAGAAAAAGTAAAAACAAAAAAATATATACAATTAGAAAAATTTTAGAGGCCAAAGCACTCGCTTATATCCAATATTCATTTTTAATTTGTTCTCATAAGTCTGTATAAAATTACATTTTAATTACTCGATATATAAATTAGCCAGTGTTTTGGATTAAAGTATTCCATCAAAATAAACCAATCTGATATCTGACAAATACAAGCATCTGTGCCCGTAGCGGAATTAGAACCCCGCTATAAGACGATCATACAATAAATTAGGCTAGTTATGTAAGTAAAAGTAAACTTACTGTGCAATTAGAATTTCCTTCGACTTCTATATATAAAAAAATAATGTTAATATATAATAAAATTATTTAATATTTATCAACTTTTAATGTATATTTGATAGAAAACTTACTTATAATACAGACACTTGATGCAAAAAAGACAAAAGCAATAAATGACAGCATCCTAATCGAAGTTAACACTACAAATGAAAACTACAGACGTGTATATGTTCGAAATATTTCCCCATAACGTTGTCAAGTTTGTACAGCTGCACGTAATTTCAAAATTTATTGTTTATTGTGAGTTATTTTTAACCTAAAAAGAAAATAATTTCCGATTAAATATCATAACAAAATTTTTAGAGATTTATTCCATTTAAAATATTTCTATGAATTTAATTGACCGGATTTATAAAAAATTTCTCGAAATTCTCAAATTTATGTTTTTTATATTAAATTGTAATTGTTAATTTAATTATTGTATAGGCCTAATTGAAAAATGCGTATTATTTGGTAACATTATCTAAATGGGTATCCTTCAGTGAACGTTGTTCAAAGGTTTGACTGTATTTAAATTTACATAATACGCTATTCGTATTATTATTAATTTATAATTAAAAAATCGTAATAATAATCATACGCAACAATTATACATTTATTTCGGTTTAATTGTTAACATATAAATAAAAATTTCTATAAATTAGTTTGCGGATTAAGCACTGAAATGGCCGAAAATCAAAGTGAAAATTCGAATTTGTCAGTTAAACAGAGTGAAATTTTCGATGCAGTATTATTATTATTGGGTTCCGGGATAGGGCCAAGTATGTTTTATTGTTTTCTTAATTTTGATAGGCACTAACTTTCATCGCGACATTTTTAATGTGTCGAAATGTATTTTATTGTAGACGCAGTGGGAAACAAGATCCGTAGACTTCATGCAAGTTGGATAGCGTTATCGAAAACATCACGCAAAGAGTTAAATGAATATCTTGTAGAATGTTTGCCGCCTTCCTATTTAACTTCTTACGAAACTATGACGGTAGCCTTTGCCATGTGGGAAAATCTTCAAAAAATGTCATCTTCTATTGATAATCATCCGTTGGAATGGATCAACGATTCTTACGTGGCTCACATGTCCGAAAGCTGTGAAGACGAATTAACTCGCTTGGTCACTAGAATAGAATATATTTGGACTCATTCAAATTTTGAAATTAGTGAACATGTGTAAATTATATTTAATATCACTAATAGTCAAGACACATGAAAATCTTACATTATCTTAATAGAGTTTTAATTAGATTAAAATTTTGGCTTGAAATTTTGATTTTTAAGTGGATTATACATAATTACACCTTTTGTACATTTCGTTTAATGATTACTCTGATATAACGCAAAAAAGTGTGTGCAAATTAAACATATTTATATTCCTTCCAGCAGCAGGGAGTTTTCACAATCTTCTGTTGTGAAAACTCCCTAAAAAGATTTGAAATTTTCTCCGAAACTAATAGTTTTCCTAAAAACTGAAACAAGTTTCCCTAAATAATTTTGCTCCAGGTACAATGTATATAAAAAATCTTAGTCTTTGGAGAGTCCAGAGAAACAGATTTTCACTTTAGGGCGCAGGAGGCATGGACACGGTTGAGCAAAAGCATCAGCTCCGGATCATCCCGCGAGATCCTCGAAAGAGAACAATTATGAATTGTGTGACTTTTGGAAACTCCTACTTGTCGCAGAAACTCAAGTAACGAAAGTGGATAGACTAAAATTTCCTTCCTAAATTTCTCCATCTTGCTGATTTCTCTCTCAATTTAAGGGAAACCACTAAGTTGGCATGTAGGAAGAGCCTGCATTATTAGTTGGAAATCAGTTAATTTCTTATTGCAACATGGTGCATTAGGTATTCCCTTCTCCCTATTAATGGTTTAAAAGTGGACTAGTCTCGTTTGACAATTGTCAACTCGTGTTGGAAGGACTATATACTTGTACGTAAGAAAGATTTTTAATTCACACAAATTTAATTTTTTTAGAATGTATGAAACGTAAGTCAAAAAAGATCTTACGAAGTGTTTCACCAACATTACCTAATCGTGGTATTTGTAAATCCATGATTAGACTAATACCAAGATTACTGATGCAAGGATTTCACAAATTTTAGCGAAGGATTACTAAATGCCGAGATACTAAGAACAGGATTAGTGAATCCAATAATCTTTACACTAGCAAGGTTTCCGGAGGTTAGTAAACGGGACACTAAAAACTTGAAAATTTTGTGGAAAAATTTGAAGCAGAAAGAATTGGGTACTGGGGAAGAGTGTGTGCCGATATTGAATGTACTATGCCACCAATTGCAGAAAAAAATTTCTCTTTAATCCCCGAGCAATTTGCGCTTATCTCAAATCCTGTTTACAGTGATGCTGATTTTGTTGCCTCTGTTGAAGATAAATTTGTTTATATCTAATTATATTCGATCAAAACTAAACAGAAATAAAGTAGTTTATAATAATAAATGAAAATTTATTTTAAAAAGTTATAAACATTAGTATTTATTTTCAGACAATGTGGCTGAATTTCCTGCATTACTGCAACAGTCATCAGGAGAATCAGATAGTGAAAATATAAATATATCAAATGTAAGTGTTAAATAGTTAATTCTCCTTATACACATTTCCCTTTATTTTAAAGATTATATTTTAGGAATCTTTTGTATATAGAATACTGTAAAAATTAGCTTAAAAAGTAATAAAACTTGTATCAACAGTTATAATTTGATGTTAATATAAACCTTGTAAACAAAGTATTTTAATCATAATAATGTTTTGATACTAAAAACTAATTAGCCACACAGAAATTAATTTATAGAGCTATATTACTTTTAAAATAATGTTCATATTGCAAAAATGTTCATTTATATATCACACATATTTTCAGGTATTCATACAGGATTTATGTCTTGTGAATCATCAGAAAATTCTGATGATCCGACAACCAGTGAAACATCCAATAATAATAATAATAATCGTCGCAGTACTTTTAAAATTATTGATAAATATGCACTAGAGTATCACAAAGCTCGAATGCATTTTTTAAAAGAAGAGAATAGAGCTAAAATGAATTTTATGAAGGAAGAAGATTTAAGAAGAAAGAGAGAGCATGACTGTAGAATTGAACTCCTGTAAGAAAAAAGCTCTGCAAATAAGAGAACAATTAAAAATAGAATTACTACCAGAAAAATTTTTAAAAATAGTAACTTTATATTATGAATTTTACTGTTTGTATTCTAAACAGTAAAATAGAAAATGTTTGTATTCTAAACAGTAAAATGAAAAGAATGTCTAGAACATCTTATTAATAAATTTAATTTTTATAGTTATTTTGTTGAAAATTATTTATAATTTTTATTCAATAATTTATTCTAATTACACATTCAAATTTAATGGAAGTAATACAGAATTCTTTCAGAAATCCAAACTAACTATAGTATGGTATTTTTTGACTTAGCATGATAACATATTAACAATTAATAGGCTAATTTATGATTAAAAATTTAAATTAACATTAAAAAAAGAAACAAAAGGACTAGATATACAGTACATATAACATGTTTTATTCATTTTTGCTTTCAAGTTCTGTACCTTTTAACTAGAAATATATTTCTATGTACTAATTTACTAAAAACTAGAATCATAATCTGAAAAACTAACATTTTCCAAGAAACTTTTGTTATTTCTTATTAAATATAGTACTGCCTATACTATTTCCATTAAGTTTAATTAACTTATCAAACACGACTCATAACCATATTGCAACAAATTTTATTTATACAAAAAATAAATTATTTTACAAAAGTTTTATTTGAATTTTATGATGCTTTATTTATGAATTATGCATATTAAAGCCTGTAATTACACACAAATTTCAATAAGACATTAATAACTACATATTTCTCATTCATTGAAAGCTTGTATTATTGTATTCCTAACAGCTGTTCCTCTTTGAACAGTCCAATCCCGAGCATCATCTCCATTACATTCTTCAGGCTGAATAACCATACCTAAAACAAGTGAATCATCCTTGCACATTATAGCTATATTGTGGAGAACACCAGTAGCAACAATAATAATAAGTGATGTTTCTAATTTAGTTCGAAGACCTTTCCTATTTATAATAATTCTGCATTTGTTTCAGGAGATAAAATTGGAATACGAGTACAATCTACAGCACCTATAACACCTGGAAACTTAGCAATATCGTAAAATTTTTTAATGACTTTTTTACATTCTAGCATAGTCGATGGAAATGCGATGTACTTTTATGAAAGGCTCCCCAAAGCTTTAGATACAGTTTTAATTATCCTACATAGGATTGATTTCGATGTTGAAGTCATATCTCCCACTTCATGGTAAAAGTTTCCAGTGGCATAAAAATGTAAACTAATCAAGAACTGCAATAGATGTGATGTAGAATGGTTTTTTCTTGTATTATATGACGGCAAGAGGTGCTTGATTTCGTTACATAGCTTACGTGTACAACAGTTCTTTTAGAGAGCTTTTGATAAACAGTTGATGGATTAGTTATTATTTTGATGGATTAGTTACTAATGCCAGATTACGTCTAATCTTAAAATGGTGGAACGCAAAATCAGTAATCCTGGATTTTAGATAGTTGTTAATTCTGCGATTTGTCTAGGTAAAATAGGGAGTTAGGGTACATAAGTCGATAAAAGTTGGGGGAACCGCTGTCTTATACTATGATGACGGATTGTCATGTAAAATTTTGGACATTGATGAGCAATTTGAGAATGAATACTGTAACCTTAAGGGTAATCAGACCTATTTAAATGTTAGACATGCGAAGGAAACTCGGAAAACTCCACGAGACCAGCTAGTTGGTCAAGTGTGAACTCAAGATGTACAAGTGTTTAATAGTTTTATCTACTCGACCACTAGCGGACCTTGAAAAGTAAATTGAAAAGTGTAAAATCTAGTGTTAATATGTTTGAACAGACAGGATATAATAAAAAAAAGTTTGAGTCGACATGTAAATTATGTAAAGAGAAACGAAATAAAATAAATCTTCGTCTCTTAGTTGCCGGGTTTTGTAGTAAATAGTAAAGGCTTTATTAGCATTTAGCAAGAAGTTGAAAACAATAGTAGTGTTGAGGGAAATGTGTTTTCATAATATTCGGTGTCTACCTGAATTGGTTTTATGAAATCCGGAATTTTTACCGAATTTCCTGATTAATATCCCGTATCTTCCTAAACCCCAAATTAAATTTTTCTTTAAATTCTAAACTAAAACCTAACGTGAAAAGGGGAAAAATTTCAATCTCCCTTTTCGTTCAAAGTAAACATCCGTCCCTTTCGAAAATAATCCCACATTCCAACTCCAAAGTTGATAGTTAGCATTGTCCCGGGGACAACTTTGACCCATCCGAGTACATTTTACCTCACAACAATTGGTCACATGACCATTCTCCCACGACGAAACTATAAAAGCCACTTGCTTCCCCTCTCGGGGGAGTCGTTCATCAACCGCCAACTACAATTTCCTCGAATATTGTGTCCTATCGATATATTGTGTCCTGCGAATTTATTATCCTTATCCTACCAGTTCGGAACCCGTTGGCTATAATAATCTTTTTCCTCAAGAATATTTAAAGATATAAAGAGGTATGGAACAAATTATTGTGAACTCTCTCTCGGCCCTTCGCGGTTTAGGGACTCAGAATTTCCCCTCGATAATAGTTATTGTACCGTCTATGTAGATAGCCAATAAATCGTTGTTTTCTTGTTAAATTGGTTTTATTTCAGGCTGTGCTTATTGCGGTACCTGAATATGTAATTTTAATATTACGTTAATAAACCAGACGGATGATGATTATGTTAAATTGGTGTCCTCTTTTGCTTGTATATCGCCTGTCACCTTACCGACGGCACTCCTCCCTCCTCCACTCGATCCGAACAATTAAATCCCGTTACCGCGAGATAGGAAAGAAGAAACATTTAAGCCATCTTGACATGAGCAGGTTTAACGACCTGTCGCCGGAAAAGGAGACCTCTAACCTCCCCGGCGGTTCACAGTTTATTCGGTTGAAAACAGAATGCAACACGATACATGAGCGATCTGCCGAAGGGAAATGCCTGCTGGGGGGTTTTTATGGTAAACTTGACCCTATTTAGGTGTTATTAATGTGAAGAAAATCCGGAAAACTCCATCTGGCCAGCCTGTTGGCGAAGCGCGAACCCACGACTGTATTCAGTGGTTTTATCTACTGGGCCACTGGTGGGCGTATTTACTTGGAAAATTTCATTTGATTAATACTTTAATGATAGACGGATCGAAAAATCTCCAGGAACTTTTCGGAGGTATTCCGTCCAGATAGGTCGGACCCCCGTCACTACCCCGTGGCCCCACAGGCCGGATGGCCGAGCGGTCAAGGTGGCAGCCTATCGCTCTGGGGGACCCGGGATCGAATCTGAACGGGTCGAAAAATCCCCAGGAATATTACGGGAATGGTCCGTTCGGATATATCGTGCCCAGTCCCTCACCACCCGTTCGCTCCATTGTGGGCATAGCCGAACCCGTAATGGGCCTGCTTTAAGAGGCCCTCTTAGTGCCCACAGGGCGGAAAAAGTAAAAAACAAAAAAAACCTCGTTGCCCCATTGTGGGCATAGCCGAACCCGTAATGGGTTTGCCAAAAGGGTTCCTCTTAGTGCCCACAGGACGGATAGAGTTAAAAAATACTCTAGTTAATAAGTTATTTTTCCAGATGCCATGTCATGGCTTTACTGGATACACGGACGTATACAGAGGCAGCAATGGGGGATACTCCTCAATGTTGTCCCCTATTCTGAAGAAAGCGATAAACAAAGTATTCAACGGCTGATCGTAATTGATTTTGCATAATACTGTACTTCTCAAGTGCAGTTTGATACTGTCTTTCAAGGCTGCCATATTGCAAATGTCCTCGATAAACCACACTTTTTAAGCCCCACAAGTAAAACTATCTTTACGTTACTTTCAGCACCAAACATGTTATATTGTTGAGTTTTTATACAATTGTTTTTAAGGAAATGTCTTCTGCATGTCTCGAAATGTCACCATAACAAATTTGGTTGCATTGGACTGCAAAAGATTTCGAAATCGTTCATTCTCTGTTGTTCGTTCATAGTGGAATTTGGGTCCCCCTTGGGGATTAGGTCAAGGGTAATCTTGACGAAAAGGGGCATGTGCCCCAAGTGCACTAATGTACGGGAACCCGGCTACACGTGACTAATTATACAAATTATTAAGCAAAACATTGTATCTTAAGTTAGTAAGTACACAATACTGTACTACTAAGAAAATCAAAATTTCAGGAATAGATTTTAAATGCAATTCATTTTTCTCTCATTTCAAATTTACAATATACCGACATAAATATTTGTATGATACTAATCAAGTTAAGTAATTCAGCTTCACATTTCTCGGACACCTCAATCAAGGAAAAATCATTTTTCCATTTCGATGATTGGTTATCAGTCGAAGAGGCACTTTGGAGATTTTCCCACGTGGCAAAGGCCGCGGTCCAACTTTCGTAAGAAGATAATTGGAAAGGTTGCAGACCGTCTCGAAGGCGTTTATCTAATCCTTCGCGATGTTCTTTAGGTAATTGTATCCACGTGGTATACAAACCACGGATTTTATGTCCAAGAAAATCTTCTGTAAAGTAAAATTTGGCCATTAATTAAAACATGGCGTATGAAATAATAAAGTTAATCGAAGACAAGAATTACTAGATCCTGCTGGAGTTCCTAGTAACTGCATTATAACTTCGAAAATTTCATTCTGGATAACTGTCGAACTGCCTGAATTTTGATTTTCGGCCATATTAATTTGTAGAGTAATTTTAATTGTTATAAATAATATTGAGAATGATTATTGTTAAGATTATAAAGACATATGCAGCTAGCATGCAGCTTAGCAAGTGAGCCAATGACATAATTTGTTTCACATGGTCTGCTTATCACCCAGACGCGCTCTAAATACTTAATTGTTCTTTCATAATGCATCAAAGAAAAATTATGACGTACTAAAGTGGCTTCGGGAGGCAACACAACTAAGTCATTGCCACTTGAAAGCCGCTCAGCATATTTATTCACTGTTGTAAGTCGTGTGCATTTTTCTGCCAAACTTGGCCTTGACGTCTCGAAACGTGTTGCCCGACAAAGAAGCTATCATCGGTTAACATCGGTTTTCCAAAATATTCAAAAACACTAATATTTACCAAATTTTGCGGCTAGAGGCTAACGAATACTGCTCATGAGCATAAAAACCGGATATATTCTAGTGACTCTTCAGTGATTTTCCATGGGGGCGCTGAGATTAATAAAAAAAAAAAAAAAATGAATGCCTGGCAACGTTTATCCAGCTGTTTCATTTTCAAGATGGCGCCGCCCTTGATAACTAAAACTTAACACATTGATACTTCAAATTTAATTGTAAAAATCAAAGATTAGTCTAAATATATGTTAAGTGGGATGCTAGTTTTTTATATTCAGTGAATATAGAAATAATGGCTTCTCTGGTATGTGTTCGAATACAAAAACCCATTTTAATAAATTATTTTTTTGTAAAATAAAGGATAATCAGTTAAATGTATAATATACTTAACAATGTAAATTAATAAACACGATATAATATAATTTTTATGAAATCTTTAGTATTTTCCCATCATTAACTGAATACAAATATGAATAAAAAGAGTACAGATGTTGAGTTGCTTTTTAACAATTTGGAATTATAATTTTGTAATAAATTAGTAAATGCATTATTAAATACATTTTGTAATAAATAATAGATATATATCTGACTAGAACAATTTAATAATTCTTTTATAACTGAATAAAATTCTAGACTTTAATGAATAATATAAAAACATGATATTATTTTAATTAATTAACTAAGTATTATCAACTAAGTAACAATCACTAAGTATTGTGTTAGTGAATATATCAATTTAATATTTTATATATTAATCTTATATTTTATACATAAGGTTACATATAAAACATATATTTTCAATTTTTTCTTTATTTTTTTTAAGTATACCAGATTATTTAATAGATATTTGTTGGCACAAAGTTTGAGAAGAAACAGAAATTTTAGTCAACAGGCTGATGAATTGAATGAAATCAAACANTATATATATATATATATATATATATATATATACTGTATATCTCTTTATTATATAATCAATTTTTTATATTGTAGTTTTCTTTCTTTGTTTTAATTACTGATATGTTTATTGTTTTAACATTTTTATATATTTCATGTCACAATCAAAAATGTAAAACAGTGAAATATATAATAATATATACTGTATATTCAAATAATAAAAATTACAAAATCTGTTGATGTTGGATTTCTCCAAAACATATTTTATAAATAAATTTGTTTATATAAAATAATTAAAAAAATACATTCATCTGTATTTTATAATTAAAACTCTGAGATAATGTGCCAAGTTTTAAAGATTTTTATGTATTTACTATCAGTGATGATAATATATATTAATGAGGATTATTAAAATTTGTAGAAGTTAATAGGGTAAACTTTTAAATAGATTAAAGAGTATAAAACAAATTTACATGTTTTGCTTTTGTTCTCTTTAAGATCTGGCAAGAATATCACAAGAACAGAAAAGGGATTTCAGCTGTAATTCCAGTAAGAATTTCATTATTTTCTAAATTTATGGATGCTAGACTTGAATTTCCAATTATTTAAAAACTTTTTTAAACTTCTATCAGTTATCTAACCTAATCAAATAACCGATATTAAAATAAGATTTATTTTAATAATGATAATAATGATGTTGAAAAATATTTTGAATTAATTATTTCACTTTAACTTTTATATAATAAAAAGCCTTGCCATTGAATTCCAGATCAATATAAGTTTTAAGTAAAACCGTATATTAGAATAAGAAAGCTTTTAAATATTGTCAAAATTAATAACCTTAAGAAGATACAGATGTTTTTGCTCATTCATCTATAATGTTGTAAATTTTGTAATACTTTTAATCTTATTCCTTGAGCTGTTTAAACATATTTTAGTATCATAAACTTTATAATCATCAGTTTTTTTGTCATATTTTATTTAATGTTTTGTTACAAAATGAAATTATAATATCCTCCTTCCTTTTATTTTAAACTGAGGCTTATTTACTGAATTCTTTATTAATGCTATTTGTTTTATTACTCTGTAATTTTAAATATTATTTTTAACTTAAGCTCCATAAAATTTAATATTTGCATTTTGCTTCATTGCTACAATTAAAGCAATAAAGCAAATGAATCTATGCAGTATAAATTTGTTAACATGAATTCATTTATGCAAATGCAAAGAATATACTAGTATATGAATGAGATTATAGAAGATATTCAGATTTTATTTACAGGTCTTCAGGCCAGCGTCCAAACACGTTCATTAAGCTGTGCTTTAAACTGATAGTTTTATAGCTTTTGCAATTAAATATCTTAAGGAAAGAAAAATGATTACATGCATATTAAAGAATAATAAAATAAGATTAACAAATTGTAGAAACACAAACAAAAAAATATATAATGGTAACTTAACATGTAAATACAACAGAAAATTTAGGACAATTATCAGCCTACAAGAAGATTGTCATATAGGTGTGTCATCAAAGGTTTTTGGTTCCTGATTTTCAGTATGTGTTAAGGCTAGTCTTATTTTTTGGAATTTTTAAATTTTTAAAACAAAACTCAATAGCTCTTTTTAGAAATTAGAATCATTTAACTTGTTATTTGATACATTTGTAAACACAAAGAAAGAAAGAGAGATGGGGAGTCAGGTAACCAAGACTTCAAAGAAAAAAAAGCAAGCTGTCACATTCAAATCTCCAGATGAGGAGGAATCAACTGAAAACCTTCAATATTACCACTCACTCATTGTATGTCAAAACAACTCCCAAAAGAGATAGGAAAGAATGTTATTTATTTATTTATTTTTGAAATTCCAATGACTTGGATATTTATGCTATGGATGTACTTTCAAATCTCTGTTTCTCAACCCATAACATGATTGCAACCATGTAAATTGCAAATTGTAAACTGATATAAGTAGTTAAATTAAATTTGGTTTAAAAAAAAAAGAAAATAAGCCTTCCTTCCTATCTTCTTCCTTTTGGAATGTTCATGTATTTGTTCACAAAAAGTAAAAGCCCTCACATATGTCATCCTAACTTGCAAACAGGCTATCTCAACCTTCAAGTTAGTGCATCATACTGTATAATAATATTTTCAGCTCAAACAAATAATTCACATAATTAATGATTTTTAAATCTGAAAAAATTTTGAATAAAATATGATTNCAAAGAGCTTATTCAATTGAAATATCATTTAATGTATAAATTAATGTACTATACAGTATTTATTTATTTATCATTTATTATTATTTTCAGTTTCTTTTTCCACTTCCAAGAAAAGATGGTTATGAGTTTGTAGTCAGTCAGTTTTTGAATCATGAATGCCATTTTACATTTTTAATTAATTTCCAGGTAATGAAAAAAATATATTTCATAATTTCTTAATTTTCTAACTACTGTATAATAAAAATAATTTAATAATGTAATATTAATAATTATTTAATAAAATATATAGGCTTACAAAGAAAATGCTCCAGAATGTCTCAGAATAATACATTATCCTGATTTTCAGAAAGAAAAAGGTAAAACTTTTTAAATGTTAATAAATAAATATTTTAATAAAACATGACTTTTTCAATTTAATTTCTATAATGTTACTGAATTTATTTTAATGTTAATTATTTAAAGTAAATTTAAATTTAGTAATATATTATTAATTTTAATACAGTTGGGTCTCCATATCTGCAGGATCTATTCTCATAGACAAGGCCATCAAGAGAGATGATAGAGCTGGGGATTTTCCCCTGGCTGAGAGAAAAGTTGGGTGCTTGTAGTGGTTCCTATCTGTACTTGTAGTGGTTTAATTTAAATAACATTAAAATTAATGTTATTTTTACTAAAAAAAACTAAAATCATTAAGACTGCTTTGTATTAATAAAGCAGCATTCTATGTATTTCATTTGTTCCAAAAAAAATGACAAATGGATCTTGCTCTTGGGTTCCACACAAGCTCTCAATGATCAAGTTCATAGATTTGTGTTGTTACAATGGTTGCAAAATTTATTATACTAAAAATTTGGCTATGGCTCTGAATGATGGTAGGGTATGCATATCTTGTTTTTCAGTGAATATCAACAATGTAGAATGGTTTGTGACTGATATATGTTGTACAGTAAAACCTGTTCAAAATGGAAACATGCCAAACTGGAAAATATATTCAGTACTGTGTGATTTCAGTTTACACAGATTTTACTGTGTCTGGTAATACTCTAATGCATCTTTATTCTTAATTATGTAAAAAAATTTTGATACAGTATTTTCAGAAACATGGTCTAAAATACTACTCATTATTATAAACAGAATTAAAATTTTTTAAAACATATTTAACATTTTTTTACTAATTGTCAATGATTGTATAAGTGTTTAGGCATATTAGAAAACATTTGGGGCTATTTGGACCAGATTTATGCAGTATTCACATTTTTTTGAGAATTATTGACATGTAATTTTTGTGAACATGGAGACTTGATTGTAAACATATATTTTCATAAAACTCTTATGTGATTTAATATAATATTTTGAACTTCCAAATTTATAATTGTTATTTTGTAAAAAGAAATTTTTTCACTCTTTCCAATCTGTAAATGTTGAGGTGTAAAGAAACTTTATTTAATATTTAAAGTTTTTCTGTAAAGTTTAAATAATAACAAATTTTAAAAATATATAAGTAAATATATAACTTTTATCTTTTTTTAAGGAATTGTTCTTATGCATGGAGAATTTGATGATCAGAACTTAGTAAGTTAAATTTATTAAAGTGTTTTAAAACTAATCTTTTTAAATTACAGTATTATATGTTATGTTTTATTTTTTACATATCAAGAATATTAATTTTATATTGCTTATAATGAATATGAAAGTAAAATAATATTGGAAATAATCAATTTTTTTATAATTTTATAGTTAAATATAATAATATTGTTGGGCTGCAATTTGAAAAAAATTGTAGACCTAGAAACTCCCATTGTTATTCTTCTGTCCCTTCTTAATCTCGAGAATGGTGTTAGATAGATGAAAGTCAAAACCAGATATGGAAAGTTAGCGGCAGATGGCCCTGATTAACTATATACAAACTTTCGGTTTGGACCAGGATTCACATTATTTCAATTCAAAAATTTTACACTGAATGGAGTTAGATAGATGACTGGTACAACTTTATTGCTAACAGTAAAAGTATGATTTACAAGGATAAGGCACTACCGAAAAAATTGAGAACATTGTGATGAAAAATTTCATCCTAGTATTGTGGCAATGTCAAAATAAATAATTGTTTGTTTAAAATTAAATTCAACTAGACTCATCAAAACTAACCTATAGGCAAACTTTTGAAAAATATGGAATTAATTTTCACTTATTTCCATATTTTTAAAACTAAAATTTATTCAATAATCACTTTATAATCAGTTGGTTATTTTGTATTAGAGTAACAAAAATTAACTTTATTGTTAACTTAACCCTGTTATAAACAGTGCTGAAAGTCCAAAGAATCATATTATGATATATTAACTACATTTATAGTTAAGAATCTTTTAACACAATTTATTAACTATAATTGTAGTTAATAGTGTGAACATAGAAAAGGATTGGAAAATTAAGTTTATTGGACTGAAATTGTTAAAACACTTTGTAAAATTTGCTTTTAAAAATAGAAAACAAAAACCATGGTTGTAAGTCATTATGATTTTAAATATGTATGTAAATTATAGTAGTTATAAAAAGTGTTTAAGGAAAAATTTTAATTGTATACAAAAAAGTTGTAAAATGTGAATGTAAGAATGTTAGATAATAAGTATTAGTGTAGGTTGGTGTTCCTTAAATGAAATAGTTTTTATTTGTATAAACTCTGTTAAAAATTCCTTAAGTTGCATTGTACTGATGAGGAGATATATTGTTTTTCAAAATGTATTTACAATTAAGAAATTCATTTGTATTATAGAGAATTTTTTGTTGATTTATGCTTCTATAAAAATCAGATGACGAAAAACTGTTCTTTAGATGTTAATCTAAATTATACTTATTTAGTAAATAAATAAATACAGTCGATCCCCCTATAAGATCATTGATTTTTCCGTTTTATCTGAATTACATGTTGTACGAGTCACTTAGATTTTACAAATATGTGAGCCGTTCACAGCCCGGCACACGTATTTGTAAAATCTAAGTGACTCGTACAACATGTAATTCAGATAAAACGGAAAAATCAATGATCTTATAGGGGGATCGACTGTATACCCAATTGTTTATTTGGAAGAGTAAAATAGGGCAGTTTTGAATATTATAAATCTGTTTCTGCATTTACTTTTCTTTAGTATTTTAAAAATTATTAATTAGAACTGTTAAGCTTATAATTTAAATTAACTAAAATTAAAATTGAACACCAAATCTGGCAAAAAGTTTTATAAACTAAGTTAGAGAGTATTTATTTTGGCTAAATTTCAATCTTAAGTTTATTCTGTATTGTATAAAAAAATGAAATATGATCATATTTCATATATCAATATATATGATATTTAAATTTGACTTTTACAGAATGTTCAAGAAGCTCAATTTCTTGCAAATCAGTTACAGTTATATTATGGAGGAAATAATGAAAACAAGACAAAATTGTTAGAAATATTTAATAAATCTCCTGAAAACTTCAAACATATGCACTTAATAAAGGAAGTAGAAGTAATTGGAACATAATCTCTGTTCACTGTTAATTTAAATCTAAATGGAATGTATTATATATCTTTTAGATAAATAAAGTAATTTATAATTTTAAATAGAACTGCTAATCTACACATTATTTTATATTATAAGTTTTATATATTTACAGTGAAATTCTTTTTACTTTAAGTTTTTATTTTAATGATCCTTTATAAGCTTACAAAATTTCAATTTTCTATTGTAGTTAGACAGTTGAAACTTTGAAGTTTAATCTTAAGTGTGTTCACCTAAAATATATGTTTATAAAATTAAACAATATGAAAATTAACTACTCACCACACCTATATAACAATCACATACACTGAACCAATTTACGGTGTGGTACAATCGACTAACAAGTGCAAAAACAAACGTTTTCAAACCCCTTCAAACCCGTTCAAAAACGTTTGTTTTTGTACTTGTTAGTCGATCGTACCACACCGTAAATTGGTTCAGTGTATGTGATTAAACAATATGAATACAGGGCCTTCCAAAAAGAATTCTACCATTTTAAATTATTATCTGAGAACGTTGTAATGTAATGTATATTACATTATTAGAAGACTATCCAAGTTTTACATTTACTCATTACAAGTTTTCAATATATGCACATCCTGTTACACAGCACACATCAACCAATACTCAAATTCTTCGTACACTCACTACAGCACATCCATTGTCATTCCTCCCAAAGTTGCCAGAATTTCTGCAGCACCATAGCTATATTCTGCAGTCCCTCCAGCTTACTTATGATGTGCAATGGTGAATGATTCCAACTTTTCAAACTGCAGAAAAANATACAGTCGATCCCCCTATAAGATCATTGATTTTTCCGTTTTATCTGAATTACATGTTGTACGAGTCACTTAGATTTTACAAATATGTGAGCCGTTCACAGCCCGGCACACGTATTTGTAAAATCTAAGTGACTCGTACAACATGTAATTCAGATAAAACGGAAAAATCAATGATCTTATAGGGGGATCGACTGTATACCCAATTGTTTATTTGGAAGAGTAAAATAGGGCAGTTTTGAATATTATAAATCTGTTTCTGCATTTACTTTTCTTTAGTATTTTAAAAATTATTAATTAGAACTGTTAAGCTTATAATTTAAATTAACTAAAATTAAAATTGAACACCAAATCTGGCAAAAAGTTTTATAAACTAAGTTAGAGAGTATTTATTTTGGCTAAATTTCAATCTTAAGTTTATTCTGTATTGTATAAAAAAATGAAATATGATCATATTTCATATATCAATATATATGATATTTAAATTTGACTTTTACAGAATGTTCAAGAAGCTCAATTTCTTGCAAATCAGTTACAGTTATATTATGGAGGAAATAATGAAAACAAGACAAAATTGTTAGAAATATTTAATAAATCTCCTGAAAACTTCAAACATATGCACTTAATAAAGGAAGTAGAAGTAATTGGAACATAATCTCTGTTCACTGTTAATTTAAATCTAAATGGAATGTATTATATATCTTTTAGATAAATAAAGTAATTTATAATTTTAAATAGAACTGCTAATCTACACATTATTTTATATTATAAGTTTTATATATTTACAGTGAAATTCTTTTTACTTTAAGTTTTTATTTTAATGATCCTTTATAAGCTTACAAAATTTCAATTTTCTATTGTAGTTAGACAGTTGAAACTTTGAAGTTTAATCTTAAGTGTGTTCACCTAAAATATATGTTTATAAAATTAAACAATATGAAAATTAACTACTCACCACACCTATATAACAATCACATACACTGAACCAATTTACGGTGTGGTACAATCGACTAACAAGTGCAAAAACAAACGTTTTCAAACCCCTTCAAACCCGTTCAAAAACGTTTGTTTTTGTACTTGTTAGTCGATCGTACCACACCGTAAATTGGTTCAGTGTATGTGATTAAACAATATGAATACAGGGCCTTCCAAAAAGAATTCTACCATTTTAAATTATTATCTGAGAACGTTGTAATGTAATGTATATTACATTATTAGAAGACTATCCAAGTTTTACATTTACTCATTACAAGTTTTCAATATATGCACATCCTGTTACACAGCACACATCAACCAATACTCAAATTCTTCGTACACTCACTACAGCACATCCATTGTCATTCCTCCCAAAGTTGCCAGAATTTCTGCAGCACCATAGCTATATTCTGCAGTCCCTCCAGCTTACTTATGATGTGCAATGGTGAATGATTCCAACTTTTCAAACTGCAGAAAAAACAAATGCCTTCTTTATTGCAGATTTGCCATTTTCTTTTACAGTACTTCCTAGAGATAGTAACAAGACATTTGAATGAGGGTGGCAGATGAAACTCTGACAGTTGCTCTATCAATTGGTGTATGTTGCATAGTTCTCAGATAATAATTAACACAGTTACAATAATTTAAAATGGTAGAATTTATTTTGGAAGACCTTAAATTAAAATAATAGGTGCTAAGTGCTCTAGCATAAATAAAGAAGTTAAAAATTAAAAAATATTTTTCAATAACTGAAATTCTTTTTATTGATATGTACATTTTACAGAATTTTACATTACAAATAAAAGTATATAACAATATTAAAAAAATTACAAAAAAATATCGCGATATTATTTTTAAAAAATTCTTAATTATAAAAAAATTTCAACTGAAATATTTCTTTAACCATTATATAATATTTAAATCATTAATTATATTATTGTTAATATATCAAATAAGCAAAATCATAGTTTATTCAGCAAAATGTCTACATCCTTCATCAGAAGCCCTTGGGTTTTATCTGATGTTTTCATCAACAATTTTGCCTATTAGTTATTAAATACAAAATAATAACAAAATAAATCCATTTAAAATTCACTGCCATGTGGCTTTACATGTAGATTTATTGTTTAATTTTAAATATTAATTGAATAATTATTGTAGGATAATTTTACAAATCACTGCATTAAAAAAACTTTTTTTTAGATTTCTAATTCATATTATGATACTTAATACATTATTATTGTTATTACTGTCAGTCCTGTTAAATATTATCTATTACTTTAATATGGAAATTTAAGTTAAATTGTATTTTCCAACAAGATTGTTGAATGAAAATTTGGTAGTTATAGATATAAATATAAGTCATTGCACAACTTTGGAACTTGCAAAGTTTGACAAAAGATGATATGTTAACTGCTTACCCAGCAAATAAATTCATAGTTCAGTTAATAATTTGCTCAATTTTAGATCAAAAATAATCAGGCTGATATATATCTTTGGGTAATTTGGTAGTTATTTAATAGTACATCAAACTTACTTGGATTTTCAAAAATTTTTAACAGAGAAGAACAATAATACAATAACAATGTTTATAAAAAGCATTGGTCTATTGTGTTTTGATTTAAATATTAGAAATTTTATATCAGCTGTTTTAAAATATCATTGATTATATTTTTGATTATTAACTAATATACTTAATTGTTTTTTTTAACTAAAGTAATATTAATACTTGTTACTAAAAAATTTCATAAGGATAAAATCATTTAATACTTAAACATTAATTTGATTTAATTTCATAATTTTGTCTTCATTATATTTTTATTTTCTTTTATTAAATTATGAAGCCATATGTGGAAAATAATAAATTTGATGTATTAACAACTAAAACTATGATTTTTGCTTTTAGTACTTTGGGCTAATTGTTATGGCCAAACAATTTGCCCATCCACAAACATCACTTGCCAAGTTTTTGTAGAAAACTTTGTTGTGGTGCTGTTGTAGTAGTTGAGAAAGAAATCTCATCTAAATGTTCTGAACTTTTTGTTATTGTCTCATTTTTAATTAATGAAGTAGTATTAAGAATATCTGGCTCAGGTGAAATATCATAGGGGCCAAGACAACATTTTATTACCGGCAGCATTTTCTTGCATCTTTTTTTCCCAACATGTCTGCATTCAAAACTTTTGTAAGTGTTGTGTGAATCTGGATGATCATTCATTTTGAATTGGCAACATTTTTTAAAATGTTTTAATTTACTTTTACTCCAAAATTCACAAGTTTCTTGGTATTCTTTCTCACAGAAAGTAACTCTAGTGACATTTAATTCAGTAGATTTATTTACTTCTTCTTTTGGTATTTCTGTAGTGACATTTAAAATAAATTCATCATGAATATTTGTTATGTTTTCTATTTCAAGTGTTGTATTAATAGAATCTGTTACATTAAATTCTATGGTCAAATTAGTTTTGTTTAGAATATTATTGAACTCATCACTAACATCTTCTACTATTATTGCAGGATTATCATCTAAATTACTTGTATTCTTCTTAATTTTATCTCTCTATATAAAAAAAGAAAGTCTTAATAAATAAATAAATTAATATTATATTGCAATATAAAAAAAATTATAATATTAAAAACACTAAAACTTGATTTGAATAAATAGTTAATAATAGAAATTTTGATGTCAAGACAGATGTATTGCATAGGATTCTTGTATTATTAAGAAGGATCACACTTTTCAAACTGATTTTTTCTGCAGGCATTAAGAATATTTCTGTTTGATTAGATCCACATTAGGATGGCTAGTGATAAGGATAGCGCACCAAACAATCTAACATAATATCTTAGGTTCCAGCCTGAATCTCTCCAAAGAGCAGGCCTTTAAACTTTGGCCATCTAGCTTTCAAGAAATCTTAGTTATAATCTGATTGAAATTTAGGACTGATATTGTTTCCTATCTTTTACCCACGATAACACATTTTTTAGTTCAATCTACTCTTAATGAGCAAAATTCAGACCAAGTTTATACTGTATACCATAGTTTACTGATAATTTATAAGAAAAATCTAATCCAATCTGAAATTTTATTATAAGAACAGACTGATAATATAGTAAGAAATAAAAAAAAAACGAATTTTTAAATCTAAAAAGTGTATGAGCATTGTGCAAAAAATTACCATGAATAATTATTTTATTTAAAAATATATAAATACAGTAGATCCTTGCATAACACAACATGATTAATGTTTCTCCATAAGAAAATATTGGTTCACATAGCATGATGCTTTATATTCTGGTATATGTGACTCAAGAATGGGTGGGTGTAACTGGGCAACATTATGTTCAAGTAAAAGATTTGTAGTTATATTTGTTATTTTACATTTTCATTATTATTAATTTAATTGTTTTTATTAATTTTGTAAAATATTTTACAAAAAAGGCATTTTATAAAATTATACTAACAGATAGATGAACTTTTTGTGTTTGTAATGTGAAAAGGGACTATGTGAAGACTTCAAGAAAGGTTTTTCCAATATATTTATTTACAAATAATTTTAAAATAAATTCATTTTTGATTTGATTGTTATGCTTTATATACAGGTATATGAACTCAGTTAAAATGAATTATAAATTTATATTGTAATAATTAAAATATATGTTCTTCGTCATTAATGATATGTTTTTATTAATTCATTTTAATATTTTCAATGTATTGCAACAGTAATTGACATTCTTTACCTTATATTTGGGTTTTTTTTCTATTGTAATGAAGTAAAAATGCATATTTACTGTATCCAACATAAATTTAAAAATTTGTATCAAATCTTATATTTTAGATTATTTGAAATATTAAACCTTAAATTATACTGGATTATTTTTGAGATAAATGGTCAAAACCTTTAAAGTCCTTTAATATATGTTAAAGTAATCTGAAAATAGCTTTTAAAAAACCAAAAACATTTGTTAAACAAATATACTGTATTACTGAATTTTAAAGTATTTTTTAACATTTATTTGTTGAAATAATTTTACTAGTTGCATCAAAATGCATATTAAACTAATTACATTTTTATGGAGTATGTTATGTACAGTTATTACAGAATTATAGTATATGAAAATATTTTTAAAAATAGCAATGTATACTTATAAAATAAAAATTATTTATCTCTACAATTGAGCCTGCTTTTATTGAACTAACTTGATTAAAATTAATTTATATTAATGTAAACATATTTTATATTTTTCACGAATATAATCAGAATATAATTTTAAACTTAAAAAAAATAAATAATTATTTTTAATGTATTGAAACATGTTTACATTTTAATCCTTCTTTATTGGTAAAGATAAATCACATCATCATACTTTTGACCCTTCTTTAACTATGATCTTCTTCAAAGCTATTAAACTTTTAAACTTTTAAACTTAGATTCATTTGATTTAATAATTCTGAATTCAAAAATTTTTTATTATTATTTAAGTATTATTTTTAGAGGATAATATCCCTAAAGATGAGTCAAATTCAAAAGAACTAGGAAAATTTGTGATAAGCATGATAATGCAACTTATCATGCTTTATCACTTTTCTTTGATAAAGCAAAATTTGAGAGGTTCTATAATAAATTTGAGATTTATAAAATTATAAACAAATAATTCTTTGTTTCAGAATATTTAATTACTTTTTTTAATAAAAATAAGGCAGTATTATATATTTTTTTGTTTTTGGATACACTGCCCTGTCAGCACAACAAGTAAGAAGGATTTTTTCTGTGCACATTGTAGGTTTGGCCAAGCTCACAATTGGCAGCTAGATAGTGAGGAATGGTTCCAACATATCTGGGAAAATTACTCAAAAATTCTTGAGATTTTTCAAAAGACTTCAGATTCAATTCTAGTCCCTTAGAGTGTAGGCTGACACTTTACTACCTTAGCCATTGAACCAGCAGTTTTGTATATTATAAAAATGCCTGATATTTATTATATTAACGTCTTATGTATAGGCTGATTCAAAATTCAGGTATATCTTTGTTAACTGATATTTTGACCAACCATAGATACAACATTTTAAACATTAACAGCTGAATAAACTTTCAGTGTGGTTATGGAATTTGTTAAAATGTTGTTTCCCATTTGAACATCATTTCAGAATGTATTTATTTTGTCAGTTTTTAATGTATTGCATAGGATTCTTGTATTATTAAGAAGGATCACACTTTTCAAACTGATTTTTTCTGCAGGCATTAAGAATATTTCTGTTTGATTAGATCCACATTAGGATGGCTAGTGATAAGGATAGCGCACCAAACAATCTAACATAATATCTTAGGTTCCAGCCTGAATCTCTCCAAAGAGCAGGCCTTTAAACTTTGGCCATCTAGCTTTCAAGAAATCTTAGTTATAATCTGATTGAAATTTAGGACTGATATTGTTTCCTATCTTTTACCAACGATAACACATTTTTTAGTTCAATCTACTCTTAATGAGCAAAATTCAGACCAAGTTTATACTGTATACCATAGTTTACTGATAATTTATAAGAAAAATCTAATCCAATCTGAAATTTTATTATAAGAACAGACTGATAATATAGTAAGAAATAAAAAAAAAACGAATTTTTAAATCTAAAAAGTGTATGAGCATTGTGCAAAAAATTACCATGAATAATTATTTTATTTAAAAATATATAAATACAGTAGATCCTTGCATAACACAACATGATTAATGTTTCTCCATAAGAAAATATTGGTTCACATAGCATGATGCTTTATATTCTGGTATATGTGACTCAAGAATGGGTGGGTGTAACTGGGCAACATTATGTTCAAGTAAAAGATTTGTAGTTATATTTGTTATTTTACATTTTCATTATTATTAATTTAATTGTTTTTATTAATTTTGTAAAATATTTTACAAAAAAGGCATTTTATAAAATTATACTAACAGATAGATGAACTTTTTGTGTTTGTAATGTGAAAAGGGACTATGTGAAGACTTCAAGAAAGGTTTTTCCAATATATTTATTTACAAATAATTTTAAAATAAATTCATTTTTGATTTGATTGTTATGCTTTATATACAGGTATATGAACTCAGTTAAAATGAATTATAAATTTATATTGTAATAATTAAAATATATGTTCTTCGTCATTAATGATATGTTTTTATTAATTCATTTTAATATTTTCAATGTATTGCAACAGTAATTGACATTCTTTACCTTATATTTGGGTTTTTTTTCTATTGTAATGAAGTAAAAATGCATATTTACTGTATCCAACATAAATTTAAAAATTTGTATCAAATCTTATATTTTAGATTATTTGAAATATTAAACCTTAAATTATACTGGATTATTTTTGAGATAAATGGTCAAAACCTTTAAAGTCCTTTAATATATGTTAAAGTAATCTGAAAATAGCTTTTAAAAAACCAAAAACATTTGTTAAACAAATATACTGTATTACTGAATTTTAAAGTATTTTTTAACATTTATTTGTTGAAATAATTTTACTAGTTGCATCAAAATGCATATTAAACTAATTACATTTTTATGGAGTATGTTATGTACAGTTATTACAGAATTATAGTATATGAAAATATTTTTAAAAATAGCAATGTATACTTATAAAATAAAAATTATTTATCTCTACAATTGAGCCTGCTTTTATTGAACTAACTTGATTAAAATTAATTTATATTAATGTAAACATATTTTATATTTTTCACGAATATAATCAGAATATAATTTTAAACTTAATAAAAAATAAATAATTATTTTTAATGTATTGAAACATGTTTACATTTTAATCCTTCTTTATTGGAAAAGATAAATCACATCATCATACTTTTGACCCTTCTTTAACTATGATCTTCTTCAAAGCTATTAAACTTTTAAACTTTTAAACTTAGATTCATTTGATTTAATAATTCTGAATTCAAAAATTTTTTATTATTATTTAAGTATTATTTTTAGAGGATAATATCCCTAAAGATGAGTCAAATTCAAAAGAACTAGGAAAATTTGTGATAAGCATGATAATGCAACTTATCATGCTTTATCACTTTTCTTTGATAAAGCAAAATTTGAGAGGTTCTATAATAAATTTGAGATTTATAAAATTATAAAC